CCCCAAAACCCCAAAACCCCAAAACCCCAAAACCCCTTCAAGAAATATTATTATTGAGAAGAATTATAGAAGGGGTATGGAAGTTAAGGAGATTACAGGAGGGCTCACTCCTTCGTTTATGAGGAAGAAAGCGAGGTTTATAAAGCCCTTGGATGTGGTGTTGGGGAGGAAGAGAGCAGGAGGGGGGATAGAGGAGGAGGGAGGTAGAGAAGGAGGAAATAAAGAAAGGGTGCAGGGTTTGAAGGGGTTTGGAAGAAGTGGAGAGGGTTTAAGGAGATGTAAGAGAGGGATTTTTGGGGGTTGGTGGATTTGATTAGGGGTAAAAGTTGTTTTAGACTTAAGAATTGAGAGTCAAGATGATCTTTTGACAATAGAAAGTGCGAAATATGGGAATATGGCTCATGAAAAGAATTTTGATCAGGAGCAATCTTACGGGTTATACAAATCACCCTCGATTGAGTAGGAGCTTTGTAAAATGTTTAGAATTATTAAAAACAATGTAAATAAATATTCTTTTGGGCAAATACATCAAACCAGCAACAACATTTTGGAAAATTTGAAATAATAAGAGAAGAATTAAGAAGGGAACTATTTTCCATAAAAGAAAATCTTCAGAATATGGAGAAAAATCTATAACAAAACCTATGATAGACATCCCAAAATACAACTCAAACAGCTCTGAGTTATACAACTTGATCCAAAAGAAGAAAGAGAAGAAGACTTCATCAATGACGCCAATGCAACCCCCTACCAATCTACACCTCTTGAGCTTGTCTGCAGACTCTACTTCAAACCTAGACCGATCAGCAGATAAGCTTCCATTAGTGAACAGTAAGGTTTAGCATTACCTGTAGATAACCTGATATTTACCGGAAGTAGTACTGATTTAGAAAAACCCAATAAACCAGCGAGGTATGTATCAAATCTCTTTGTATTAGTTTTCATCAATCTTATAGAAATTTATTCAAACTTCAAGGGAGAGGGATCACCAATAGAAGTATTTCCGTCAGCAAAAATGGGTTATGCCATGATCTACAGAAAGTTAATCAAACCCAAATTGATAACTCAGGCATGATTATTAGTACCTGAGATGAACCTTTACTTTATACTGTAGGATCAAGACATCAGCCTCATCCAAATGAAATCAAGAATATCAGGAAATGATTAGAGGAGGTTGTAAAGATAGGAACTCAAGAAAGAATTAAAATCTCAAAACCCTCGTTTAACTCTTTTATAAGGTACAAGAAAAATGAGCTCAAAAGTTTTGAAGATAAAGAAATCAAAGGTATCCTTATACATAATTCGAGGCCAAAAAAACAGATATAGAACAACTTGATAGTAGTTTCTTATCAAATAATTTCCCATCATTTCAAGCAAAGCAGATAGAAATATATAAGAAATCATGGAAAGAAGTTCCTATGAATACCTCAAAAAGATTTGGCCGAAAGTCATCCTTTGGAGGAGGTTCTACTGGGATGGAACCTATTAAGCCTAAGAATTTCCTGAGCTTAATTTCTAAACAGAAAGAGCGTCACAAATCTATTGGAGTAAGAGTAAGGAAAATCCTTTGGATAGTCTTACTAAAATCGGCTGTTCAAGATTAATATGCTATTTAGCATAAGCGAACAAGTTCCACCAAACCTAAAGTGTTAAAACTAAAATCTCCCAAGCCAAGTTTCGGAATAACAAGAGTCCATCTACCCAAAAGCCTCAAAAGGGTCGAAAGCTTGAATGAAGACCTAATACAAGTAACTACAAAAAATTAAACACCCTCACTACCCATCCACATCCCCTTAACATGCCCAAACCATTTCAATATACCCTCCTAAAATCGGGGTTTTGGGGTTTTGGGGTTTTGGGG